AACTGAAATCTCTGTAAATGTGGCAGCCGAATAAAACTATAGTAAATATTTGCGTAAATTCTAATCATGTTAGATAAAATAATCTGATGTAAAATAAATGCAAATAGAAAAACTTCACAGTGTAAGCCTTCAGAAAAGCATAACAGAAAGACTGTCGCTTTCTGTATGGTTAAAGAACAGCCGTGGCATGGAACCATAAATTCAATCTGTGGAAATGCAGACATTTGAGCAATTCTACAACAGAACTTACTTCGGAATCTATATAGTTAAAGTGGCACCTTTGAAGTTCTTCAGAACGGTGAATTAGAAAGAAGAAAGAACAGGTTCCACAGGGAACCACACGTTTGCAGAATGAGATGTATAAAAAAATCAAAACCTGCTAAAGGCAGAAACCATTAATCCCAAGGTCCTTGATGACACACTGAGGGGCTGGAAAGAATAATCACAGTTTTCATCTTGTTAAACTGATGGATAAAACATTGTAAAATCCTACAAAATGTGCAAAACATGTTAGGAAGGATCATCATCAAAAGGTGCCTGCCTCAATATCTCAATATGATGGGGGTAAGCACAGTGGTAACTTGTGTTTTGTACGAGGGGGGTTTCTGTATTAACTGGAATGTGCATGAAAGGCTATCTTTCGTCTGAGTTGAAGATTTGACCTGCCTCACAGACCCTCCTGCAATGGAGAAGTAACATACTGAAGAACGTGAAGTCACTGCTGATCGTAATTTGACACCCTGCCATTACAAAAATGCAAGTTCAAGCAATTAAATGAAACCTAGCTAAAATATTTGGTTTTTATTTTGGTCTCCTTCCTTTTAAGTGGACACAGGAGAAGCTGACTGTACAAAAATGAGTCTGAAATGAACGAAAAAGACAAAAATCAACTAAAAGTAGAATTGGGTCTTATATGTTCCATAATAATTGCCTTATAAACATTAAGAAATGTGGCTTCAGCAAAAAATAAAATTGAAAACTGTAACCCAAACAGATTTATTTTACAGCAGTAATTAAAAAATATTTTATTTGCTGGATAAAATAATTTAAATATTTCTGTAGCACAATCTTGAAAGTATACTGTTTGTAATAGGATGAACAATAATCTGTCTCTTTACTTAAAAAGGTAAAATCTTTCACAAATAAAAAAAACATTGGTGTATGTGATATCAAGCTTAAAACCCATATTTAAATACAATATAATTAAGGTTCATAGCCTGCTATTACATTAGTTGTGTAACAGCAATTTATTAACCTCATGTAAACCATTGACCTCTTAACTGGTTGTCTAAGGTTGTGATGTACAGTTTTTCTCTTCTTCATTAACTACAATCAACACTTGCTTGAGAATACCATGGCTGCAGCTCTTTAAAACTGCTACTTCCTTTCTCGATACATTTGCTGGTTTTATTTTTCCAGCAGAAATACTATAGTTTCTATGATATTTCTGATATTTCTTACAGTTTGAGCAATGTGTAAATATCTCATTAAAAGAGACCTGAGCAACAACAAAGTGAATAAAGCAGCCGGTAAATTAGAAAATAGATAAATGTGTTCTGTATTATATAAAATGTGTTTTAAAGGAAATAAAGAAGTTTAAATCACCTAGTTAGTGAATTTCATTTGGAACATTTTTGGCATTTATGTCCCCAGTTCTTCCTAGGTTCTTCAGAATGTGAAATTTGCTAAGTGATTAATCTATGTGGCTTTGTTTTATTTGAATTTTAACATCTTAAAATTAAAATAAAACAAACCTCCCAGATCTCGTTTGCTATCCGGAACCCTTTTAGAAACGTGTTTCAAAAGTGTTTTCAATGAAAAATAAAAAATACCTGTTACTGCATAGGCTGAAGCATAACATATAGCAAAATAAACATTGTGCTCCATGAAGTAAAAGCAACAATTCTGGGCAGAAATGTAGCTAAAGCTGGAGTAGTTTTTCTCCTATGAGCTGCAGATGTTCAGTTTCAACAGCAGCAGATACCACTGACCTCTCAGAATACACATTTTTGTGAGTGGATTAATGCTGATCCTTTTTACTGTGTTTCCTGCACAATCAACATTAGACTTGAAGTTTACAAAGCAAGATTCCATGACTCTTAGCTTTAACTTCTGAGTAGTAAACAACTACCCATGTGCAAGTACAAAAACAAAAACCAGTAGAGTATGTAATAAGAACAAAACCAAAAAAAATTTGACACTTTTTTTAGTGAAAAGTTTGGATAATGAAGAAAACTGTTCTTTTTTTTTCTGTGAGCAACACAGAGCCATCAGGGTAGATGGTTCAACACCAACAAGACTGAGGACGCAGCCTGTCAGTGCTCAGTAAGAGGTGACAACTGGAACATCTGGTTCCTGAAAACCATCTGCACTGATGTCATCCTTGTGGAGATCAAATCGAACATGGAATGGACCCTTAACCTGTGACCTTGGATTTGTGGCAAAGAATAGCAACTGTTTTCTAGGGCCTGAATAGGACTTAAAATAGACTTTTTTTCTTTTTTTTAAAAAAAAAGAAAGGTGATCTGTCCAAAGACTGGTGTATTGGATTTTGTTCCGTTTTCCTCGTTGTTATGGTGTCTGTTTAGAGCCCAAGCTATAACACAGACTCCATATTTTCACACCACTCGTGGTCTTCCAGGTTGTATATAAACTTTGTCCTGCTGGCTGGGTTCTGACTGATTTCTCTGCCCAGGTTGTCCAAGGTGAGGGTGGAGGCAAACAGTTCGCCGGTGGTGAGGCCACCCTCGTTGTTCTTAATGTATCTTTTGTAGTTTTTCCGCAAGCACTGCCAGGTGGTGGTGTAAAGAATGAACGCCACAGACTTGAGAGCAATGGCGATGCTGACGTACAAGTAGCGGTAGGCCACGTTGTCGTACAGTAGGCAGGCACCTCGCTCCCCACACACAGTGCTCCAGAACAGACAGGTGGAGTCAATTCCAGCACCGAAGATCAGAGGGGGAGGGATGAATCCTGCGAATGAAGCAGAACACAGAAATATTCTGAGCTGTAAGCCCTAAGAGCTGACTGGACATAAACCCTGGTTCCAGATGTAGACAATGTTGTCTATCCTTGAACTTGGTACTTTGCCCAGATGATTACAGTTGAGTACCTGAAGTGCTCCACTCAACCCGGCATGGGCTGGGAGGGTCAACCTGCGATTAACTCATTAGCGCTGCAAACATTGGGACCACAAAAGTAGGCAGATTTCTGTTCAAATAGGACTGTTCTGTTTTTTTCAATGCGAGAGAAGGCATTTTTGACATGATTTTTGGAAATGCCGAATGTCAGCATCACTCAAACCACAGCCTATGTCCCAGGTGAGGGAGAGATGAAGATGAACAGTTGCCCACCTGTGTGCAAGCCCATAGCACAGACAGGTGGGCTAAGGTCTTGGATGAAGAACTGATGCTGCCCTCATTGATTAATTTACAAACTGACCTAGCTGGTCACAGATAAGGTTCACTGTTGTGCTGGAAATCCTATTTGACTCAGCCAGACTAAACTGCTCAGAACCTGGGACACTAGACTCTAAGATGGCAGCCTTGAAAAAGGCAAGACAACAGGATCCCAACACTTAGCTTTACAGATACTGTTCATGAACTATTATAATTAATGTAACATCTTCATTGCCTGGAAGGGGGGCATCTATAGGGTTGGGACCCCTGGAGGTTAATATTCCCCCACTGGGAGGTTTTGTTTTAACTTCCTCTATGTCCATACAGTTAACTGCTACTATGCAATACTGTGGCAAGCTGTTGCACAGTGAAGAAAAATCCATTAACTGATTGATTGATACTGTCTCTGCCACTTCCTGAAAGCTTCCAACCAGTGGCAACTAGGTGTTATTATTGACAATTGGTGACTTGGGAGCCCCTTTTAACTGATTTCACTCATCTGTCACACACAAAAAGCCAGAGAGTGTTGGCTGCCATCTCTGCTGCAAGGCAATTATTTAAAAAAAGATGTGTATTTCGCCCTACAGAGGAAGACAAGCAGGTGGATAGGCCCAGGTGTAAATACTGGACACAAAAGGAAGACAGAACCCTTTAGATCGGATGCAGGAAACTCAATTTTCTTGTTTTCCATTGACTGTGGATGGGTGCAGTCAGACAATGGCAATGCAGCGTTTGACCGCTGGAAATTCTTTCTTACCCAGAAGCCTCAGCAGGAGGAAAAGAACTCCCAGAGCGTATGACTTCAGCTCTGGACTCACCGCCCTGTGTGTGAAAAAAAAGAAGAAAGCGCAAAAAAATAATAATTTTCGGATTGGAATGTAATTAACGTGCTTTTATACTCTCAGAAAATATAGTCATTGCTTGCAGAAATGCTCCAGTCTGCCTAGGGTCCAAAATCTAATTACAACAGCCTGATATAATTTTGGAGAGAATGGCCTTTTTAGGTAAATACAAAGTGGCAGTGGAATAGTGATAGTGCTAATTCCTCAGGTACTGTTTGCAGGGGAGATGTTTAAATGTATTAAAGGTTAAAGGATCTGAGCTAACCATGAGCTCATTTGGGCTCATTTTGAAACATTTGCATAGAAGTGTTTAAACCCAGAGCAAGAGAGTCTGAGGCAGAAAAAGGAATTGCTGAGTTTGCAAACCATTCTAATCTTTAAACAATGTGTTCAGGAATGCACTAACCTGATCATGTTTTTTTTATTATAATACAAATTTTATCAATATTAGCAGATGGAAAAAACTAATAAATTTACTGAGAGGCATTAAAACCGACTCAGTCAGTGTTGGAACCAATAAATCTGTGGCATTTTTATGTAAACCAATGATATACACAGTGGCCAATATTTTGTGAAACCTACAAGCCTCCTGTTTTATGATCTGTAAAAGTATATACATACAAACACATGGTGTGAGATATTTTAAGCAATGTTATTTTTGAGCAAGTCAGCACAGAGGTAAATGGAGTCAAAGGTTCATTAGTTATATTGCTACTCTCCTTCTGCACCCCAGTCTGTGTAAGACTCAGAAACACATCATATCCAAAATGAGCCAAACAATAGGAACCTTTATCAATTTTCCTCTGAAAAAATTATCTTACAATTGCCAGTGAATTAGTACATTGAGGAACCATAAAGTTATTTAATAAACTGTACTGACTATAAGTCCCAAAGAACAAATAAATTAGCAGTCATATACACATACAGTATACTTAAAATTTTTTTAACATCCTGTGCTATCACCTATGCCAAGTGACATTGCCTCTGCATTTGTTAATCTGCACAGCTGTCAGATGAGGTCCTTTGCCCACTGAGACACATTTTTTACAAACATAAACAATCCGTGAAGACTCTCTGTAAGCATGAATGAACTGGTGCCCCTCAGTGGCAAAATAAGGTATTTTACCAGAAACTGCCTTTTCAGGACCCACTATGCTATACAATTCAACTGCCCAAGCATGTTCACAGCTTTCAAAGGAATACACACAGTACTTGTTTTACTGTAAAACAGGACTGTCCTTAAGCAAATGCAGTGAGTTCAGAAACAAATTGTATTCTTAGGAACAGGCAAGGCCCTGTGCTTAATAAAATACATGGTGGAAGCTGTCATCATTAGATTTCAGGAGAATTCAAAGACTCTTTAGTCCCTAGAGAACCTCTAAAGTGAGTCTAAGACTTGATAAAAACCATAGTGTGAAGTCATGCCTTGGGATGCACTACTTGATGAAAATGGGAAAAGACTGAGGTCTAGTGGAGGTTACATGGCAATCAATAAAAACACTTGCCGGAGAGGGTTCAAAGGAACACAGCTCCCGATGAGCGTGATAAAGGACACCGGCGAGCACACACCGTGGAAAAGAGAGCGCTCACAGACAAGCAGCAGCAGGCCACTGGATGGTGCCCGGTGAGTGTGACAATGGGAAACGGAGCGAAAAAGCACCTGTAATCAGCGAGTGTGTGCGCGCAGTCAGGATGGTGAGAGTATAGCAGTGAGGCACTGATGGGTTTCAAGCGGAGTGCGTTACCTGATGAGGATGATGACCGAGGGGGTTTGGGCCATGGCGCCAATCATACTGCAGGCACAAATCACACACAGGAAGATTAGAAAGGCCTCTTGGCAGCCGGGGCTGGGACACTTCCCAGGAACGGCTGTTGCGTTGTCAGCCCTGTCTGCAGAAATGCAGGAGCATCCCGTGAGGTTCTGAAAGAAGAGAAGGTAACCAAGAAAATGACCAAAACAGCTTTCGATTCTTTATTTTGACCAATTATGTAATTGAGAGCAAATTCTCCTTGACAACGGTGCTCTTTAGATCCTTTTATGAAGCATCATGGGAACAACTGGAGAAAAGTACCCTGCAAAATATAACAGCATCCAGGATTTGAACCCAGAACCCTCCAACTGGGAGACAAGGACCTTAACCACTTTCATATACAGCTGCCCCCCCTTACAAACACTACACTGTCCCTAACGAAGGGGAGCATGAAATTGCAGACTGGGTGAAAATGGATAACTATCCGAAGAAAGAAAAGTAAAGTCAAAAAAAGAAATATAATTTTGTGCCTTCTCTTTCTTTGTGAGCATCTCATGATTTGTTTCACCTTTAAATTTAAACACCACAGCACTGGCAATAGAACACCCAATACTATTCAGCTGAGAAGACAAGGTAGAAAGAAGGTTAAGGGCTCTCAGAGAATCACTCAGCGTCATTCAGCATCTCAGGCTGACAGATCATACATCTGAGAATCTTATTTTCTTTTCATATAAAAGTACAACAATATTAAGCACATAATTCAGAACGCATACCGCTTCAGCTTGAAAACACCAATACCAACTGTGAAAGGTGAAGTTTATGTCCTTTTTTTTGCTGAATCATGACAAATCGAAACTGATTCGGTAGGATCAAGGTCACAGACTTAGGTTGTCTTCTGTATTTCTTTATAAGACAATTACAGAACGCCGCTCTAAAAGTTTATATCCGCTTATGATTTTAGATCCCTTTTAATCTTTCAAGACTCACAATGTTTACTGTTTTTGTGACACTTTCTGCCCTCAATTGTCACTGACTGATGCAGAGAGAGAAGCCTTCATCATCGCTCCAGATTAGATAACTCTGAAACCTGGCTCTTTGGAGCTTCCATAGCTGTCTTCAGAAAATGACAGAATGTGCAAAATCAAAATTCTCGTATTTTCACAAAGAAATCAAGCCCGTAGGTGCACTTTGCATATTCTAGCCCAACTATGTTTATAATAAAATTCACAATTGAATAATGGAGCCATTACAGATCTCCGCAAGCCCTGACCCCTTGTACACTCGACACAATGATGCAGCACAGCAAGACCAAGATAATAATAATTAATAATAATTGCTTACACTTATATAGTACTTTTCTGGACACTCCAGTCAAAGCGCTTTACAGGTAATGGGAACTCCCCTCCAACACCTGGATGATGCCAGAATGCTCACCACACATCAGCTATCAGTGGGGAGGAGAGCAGAGTAATGAAGCCAATTCATAGATGGGGATTTTTAGGAGGCCATGATTGGTAAGGGCCAATGGGAAATTTGGCCAGGACGCCGGTGGTTACACCCCTACTCTTTTCAAGAAACGCCCTCGGTTTAACGTCTCATCCGAAGGACGGCGCCTGTTTACCGTATAGTGTCCCCGTCACTATGCTGGGGCATAAGGACCCACATAGACCACAGGGTGAGCGCCCCCTGCTGGCCAAACTAACACCTCTTCCAGCAGCAAACTTAGTTTTTCCCAGGTCTCCCATCCAGGTACTGACCAGGCTCACACCTGCTTAGCTTCAGTGGGTTGCCAGTTGTGAGTTGCAGGGTGATATGGCTGCTGGCTATGACCGAGGAAGGCAGAATGAATATACTCACAGATCTGGAGCAGCCAGCAAAACAGGATGACAGATAGGTGACACCATTGGACCCACACACTGGGCTGATTGAATCTGTGTGACAGTTGCAGTTTGCAATGCACGAGGAAACTGGTTTCATATCAGCCTGTAGTGTTCTGGAAAGAAATTATGGTTTACACAGTGTCACATGGTTAACGCTATCTACCTGTGCTTCACTGAGGCAATATGCTGAAAGTAATTCTTAGTTTCAACCTATTAAACACATCAATACATCGACTGGACTGAAAATGTCTTTCTTTTCTTTTATAAATGAGAGTGTTACGGGTTTAACATTTTATTTGAGAAAGCCTGAGTGGTTTGTCCTCTGTACTCTTCAGTCTGCAGCTTCAAGAGCTGTGTCTGCCTCAGTTAGGTACATCTTGAATTTCTGTGGGACATACATTTATGTACTCTGTAGTTTTAGAAATTTGCATATCCAGTTTTCAGGGCAGAGAGAAACTGTTGTTCTTGAGTCATTAAACTACATCACTTGACTATGTATAGACAGTAAATTACTGAACTTATGTAGGGTGAGCAAAAAAAAAAACAATGCTAGAGCTAGAAACTAAAACTGCTCTTTCTTCTAAATCTGTAAACCCTTTGTCTCCATGACAGGAAAGCCTGACTGTAAACTATCTTTCTGATAGTTTTGTTGGTTGGTAGCAAGCTGGGTTGTAGTATGCCAGTTTGTTGCATGTTGGCGTACATTCGAACAACTGTCTATCTTCTACAGTGGGCGCTCCTGCTGGTCTGACATATTGAATTCAGCCACAGAGTGATCCTGGGTTCTCGGGAGGGATTCGGCCAGTGCTTACTCGTTGCCATAAGCGACGGTCACCCCGGCAACAGGACCTGTGTCACAGCCCAGGAAGAGGAAGGAGACATAGCAGGCAGTGGAGACCAGATTGACGAGCATGGCCATGCGGATGGCTCCCAGCGCAGACAAATTCAGCTTCTTCACCAGCAGTCCGCCCAGAAAGATCCCCAAACATGCGCACGGGATAGCGGTCATACCTGCCAAGTTAAACCGCAAAGATAAAAGATAAATCTTTATCAGCCTTAAAGCACTTTGAATCAATACAAAACATCAACAAATCTAAACTGTAAATGTAATACAGACAGAATCAACAAACATGAAAGAACAGGTTTTGAATAAAGACTATACGCACACAATAAATTAAAAACAATTACAGAAAATGAAATGCTAAAGCACTGTAGGTTAAACTGTACATTTTCAGTCCTGTTTTAAATGAAATAGCTTTCCTGAGAAATTGAACCAAACAGTTGCTTCACTTAAGGGAGATCAAGATGATCAGTATACCAAATGAGTGATTTTTTGTTGTGTTGAAATAGAAAAAATATCTGGCATCCTGCTTAAAGACAGTAAGACAGTATCTGTGTCCAAGTCTAGGTTAACAGATCATTTACATAGGTGCCATTCATGCCACTGAAATCCTTTAAAGTGAAAAGCAGCACCTTAAAGTTACTTAAAACCACAGAAGAAGCTAGAGCAAAGATACTAACACCTATCGCAGGGGTGATATGTTCTTGTGTAAATACACTGAAAACAAGGCAAGATAAATCTTTCACGTGGGAAAACAACTTTTCCAAAAATGGAGATTAAACAGAGTTAAATTGTCTGCCGTTTCCACCTTTTTATGTCTCATTCGATACCAGATACATTCTTCAGCTGTTCGGCAGTTGTCCCTGCCCAGTGGTCTGGCACAAGGGCCACTTACCCAGCAGCTGATTGGCTGACGAAGTTGTGAGGTTGAACTGCTGCTCCAGGTACTTCCCCAGGAAAGCAGCGAAGCCCGCGACCACGGCGATTTCCATACAGGCCGCCAGAACAATGCAGGTGAACACAGGGTTGGACAGCAGGTGCTTTGTCACTTTCGGAATCACTGGAGATTGAGAAGGAAGGAAGGGGTGAGACCAGAGTCATCAGTCCACTGTAGTGCGACACTGCGGCCCTTCAAACATCAGCAAGATCAGCTGTCTTAGTCTCCGGGGCTTCTGCCAAAAACACCCCCCAACAACCAAACTTCTTTAAAAGTATTTGCAGTCTCCTCCAGCAGCAATTTTATTCTTGACTCTCACCACTCTGGGATGTTATCGGTATACTTAATGCATTAACCACTCCTGCACGGAGGCCTTTGAAATCCTTCATTTACCCTCGTGTTTCAATGAAATGGCTTGTTGCCTACCCAAGTTGTGTCACATCCATCTCATGTTACAACATCTCCTTGCAAGGTGGTCTTCATTACACTTGTATATTCTCTTATGCTGCCTTCCATACTTTGCTTTAAAACTTTCAAAACAGGAGAGTCCAATATTTAAAATGTATTAAAGCAAACAAGAATGACAGCCCTTACTGCATCCTTATGTTCAGTGTGGAGGATACCAATACTCATTTTTATTTTGACAGAAAATAATTTGGTTTCCTATTCAGATAAACTATAGATTCATAGTGACTTTAGCCCCACAATGCAAAATAATAACATACGTAATAATAACAACGTAATGATGAAATAATCTTTAAATTTCCTGTAAAAAACTTAATTTGGTTTTGGGAAAAACTGAATACTACAACTAATAAAAATTCTACTTCTGCTAGTACTGATGGTAATATCTTGTATTTAAATACTGTAGCTCAATAAATCCCAATGGATCTCAAAGCATTTGACATATTGGGGGGGACCATGCTATCTTCCATTTCAGCAACCATTCTGCACTGGCCTACACAGATCAGGTGGTCAGAGGAATTACTTCGATAATCGAATCAAAGGTAAATCTCAATTAAGGTCAGGCCAGATTACGTAAACCTCAAATGGAATTTAGCTGGGACACCAGGATTTTTAATGCCCAGGTCATCAGGACCATGGTTTAACATCTCCAAACCACAGCCTTTCCTACAGCACAGACTTCCTGGCCACCATGCTGGGGCATTGGTTTGAAAATCCTGCTCAATAGGTAAGATTGCCACCAACTGGCCCAGCAAAACTGTTTACGGCTACAAATTCTAAATCAGTAACATCCCAGACCAAGTCTTGACTGGCTTCTGAGATCTGACAAAATCAGGCTCTTAGGTGGCAATGCTACTTAATAATCAACCGAGTGCAGTCAGTTTTCCTAGGCAATTCACTGACTTTGAATCCCCAGTCAAAAGCATATGCCAGTGGTTTCCGAACTTTTTTAGTTCACAGCACACCTGCATTTTGAATTTTAAAAGAATCAATCAATTACAGTTATGTTGAACTGAAACAAGCTTATTTCAGTGAAACAAATTAATTAAACTTCAATTTTCCGACAAGGATTTCCATGTGAACTGGGAGAACAATTGTTTAAGATTTGCTTCAGTGCTGGAAGGAGTGAAGCAAAGCTCCTGTTCCACACTTTCTAAACTGGAGCTCCTCCGTTTCCACGGCCCACCTAAGAGATCCTTCCACATCACGCAGTTTGAGTAGCACAGCTGTGAGTCCGCACAGGAAATTGAGACTGGCGTCAACTGAAATGCTGGAGGCCGTGCAGCTGCTGCCTGAAGTGGTGTGCAGCAGGCAGAGCACTGTATGGGAAAATGACAATTATGGGATGTCCCCGACAAGAGGAAAATCAGACCACGACGTGCGCTCTGTGACTGCCCAAACTGCGTGTGGCATACAGCGCACGGATGCCTTTCTAAATGAACAACCACTCTGCTCGCACTGGTCGATACGGGAGAGGCAGCTAGCTGCCACCATGTTGACACGCGCACACTGCCCGCCTGGCGCCCTGACCTCGCAGCTGCTGGCAGCACGAGGGGCTGCTGTCGGGCTCCTGGGTGTGGCGCAGGACCCCGTTGCTGGGCTTGGGCCTCTCGTAGTCCCGGGGCAGGCTGTCGGGCAGCATGGTCTGTTCACTCTCGTCCCTGCCGTCCCCCTCCTGCCCCGCCAGCGACTGGGGGAACCCGAACATCAGGAGGGCCGAGAAGAAGAGTAAGGCACCGCACAGCAGGAAGCCCCCCCACCAGGCTCCGATCCAGCGGGGGTCATCAGGGGTGATGTCCAGCTTACCTGTGGGAGGAAGGGGGGGAGAGGGGCGCCTTGAACTGGGGGGCCCATGGAAGACACCGCTTGTATTGTATTATTAGCTGGGTCTACAGCTCAGAAGTACTTCTCAAGGACGGAACAGGAGGTACAGCAGGCCTCATTCAGGAGACCAGACTGGCCACGCACTTCATCTGTGTCAGATCCATGGTCAGGCTTTGCTCCTTCTCACGCCGTTGCCAGAGCTTGCGAAAGAAATTCTTTTTTTATTTGAAAAAACATGAAAAAGTTTCCCCTGCGTGACATCAGGACATTCATGTGTTACATCTCCTACATGGTAATCGAGGTCAGCTGAAGTCAAAGGTCAGATTGGAGTCGGAGCTTCTGTTCGCTCCACAATCAAGCCAAATGCTGTCATGGAGACGACCTCTGACTCAGTGACCTGCTGGTAAATGAGTGAACCATCTCACATCTACCACCATCCACAAGGGCAGGCCGGCCCCTGAGACACAGTTTCCTGCAGCAGGAGGCACCGGCCAGAGCACCAGTCATCTGAGATGAACAGCAACTCACTGGTGTCAATGAAGACCGCGTCCACGTAGATCTTGGTGCAGAGGGACCCCAGGATGAAGCCACAGGCTGGTCCAAACACCAGGGTTGAAAACAGGATACCTACAAAGAAAGAGAAAATAATAATAATAATATTAGGAGAACAATAATACACCTGTATCGACTGTACATATACTAAGTAGCAAGTTTTGGAATGTGTACTTACAAAATGTACATTTTCTCCCAGTCCAGTAACAAAGATAGAAGCTAGCAGCCCAGTACATTTTTCTCACTTTTAATTTAAAAGCAGAAACCAATTAAAGCTTGTACACCTGCGCAGATACAGGCAGAAGAGAAGGACTTCTCTACAAAGTGCTGAGGAAGTCATTGCAGCCCATCATGAGAGCTGGTTACACTGAACGAGGAGTGCATGATAGCTGTGATTTTTGTTTTGAGGTACACTGCGAATGCTGCGAAGAGACTTGAGCTGAACAAACGGATATGTGCTGCTGGATCAACCTTGTTGGGAAACGTGCGGGAAACCAATAGCCTGTGACTTAGGAGCTTATATGCAACAAGGGATGCTACAGGACCTCACAGAAGTCTATACTTCACTGTCAGTGCTGCAGTGTCCTATCGATTCCCTGCCCTTTAACTATGTTTCTAGAGCCCTTGTTATTCCTCCGTGATGAAGTACTCTGCAAATAAACTGCACACAGCTTGTCACGCAGCTTTTGCAAAAACGTAGATAGTAACATTTTAAAAGGCACTATCGCTGAATAATTCATTGTGCCTCCAGCCGGCAGTAAATATCGCTGTCATATTTAGTGCACTGCTGCCATCTCGTGTTCTGCGATGATTAAAATCACACTTTTCCAGACAGGTGCAAGACATCCAGCTCCACCCAGGCCCAATTCTCAAGGAGAACAGAGACACCCGCTGACTCAAGAAACAATCTAGCTCCCAGAAAAATCACAGCGCCAGATACAATAACAGCACGAGTTTAAATAAAGGATAATTTATTACCGCACTCTGTACAAGCCAAATAAATATGTTCTAGAATGCAGCAGATATTCTAAAATATGTATCAGTGTTCTCCATTGGCTGCCCATTTTCAGCTGGCTTGAAAATGACACCAGGAATACATGCCCTACAGGAAACACCTGCTGTACCGGAACATTGCACTGACATGTAGTGTGGTTTTCTGAATACATATGTGAAAAAGGAAGAGGAATTCTAATATTACACAAGTCAGAATCTAGTCATAATTTACTTTATTATTCCACAAGAGTTGACATTCCCTAAACATCTATGGTTTCTCTCACAAGGCAATATCTCTTCAGGTATCACAAGGCTCTTCAATATCTTAAGGATGAATTATAGCAAGGCTATTAAGATTTGCAGTGCATACTGCCAACCACACGAGGGCGCATTCTGAACAGTAAATCCTGCACTACCAGAGAAGGCTACCATCTGCACCAGCTCTGATTAAGAATACAAAAGGAATTCGATCATTATTAGCATAATCATGAGGTTCATCAACCCCTTATTTACTTATCACTTGGGCAAGACTTTGTCCTTCTACTGGAAGCGAAACAGGGAACCAGGAATGATCAGCTGAATTGTTGAGCTGTTACTTAACCTAGTAAAGGTTTAAAGTGGAATACCACAGGAAAAGCATCTGAAAGTGCAGCAAAATACAGTAAAGAATGGAGAGGTAAGGTAAAGCCTAAAAATACTCCCAGCAGTTCTGAGTAATGCAAAATACGATATAGACATGGTAAAACTGGAGACATCACACAGACTTAAACTCTCTGAAGGGCAGCTACATTTGTCAGTAAGTGTGATGAAAGATGCTCCTAATTAAGCAGCTCGGAGTTTGACTGGGGCTTACAGTCCTGAAACTAGGTTAGTCATGTTGAAGGCCAGGCTCACAAGCACTTACACTAGCTCAAAGCCAAAGGAAATAGCCACAGCGTACTGAGATCTGCTGCGCCTTCCACGGCAAACATGAAGGCGAAGTGCTCTGCCTGTCTGGACATCATCTTACCCAGAAAACATCAATACAGACGGCAATTACTCATTATACAGGAGAAGAATTTATAGCGGAAATACAAGTATGGGACCCACATTCTGAAACAAAGTTACTGGACAATGAATCAATTGTAATGGATATTAACAGATATTATTCATTAATGTTTTTTTTTTAATTAGGCTTAGTAAATTGCATTGTACTGTGCATTCATTCTGTCATTCTAGGAGTTATGTTCACTGCGCTGTGGTTATATGCTGAAACAAATCAATGTCTTGGTCATTTAAACCTTGGGAACAACACAAAAACGAGAAGTTTCTTTATCAGTCATTTATTGGTGCCCTCCAGTCCAATCCACTCTAACTGCTTTCAATGTTTGACTACCACCTTGTTTGCAGCAGGTGTCTCACGGACACAAGGCTCGCGCCACACGGGTTTGATCCTTCTCGCTCTTTCCCCCTGCTTCTGTGAACAAGTCGGCGCCGGGTGGGGAACAGCATTTGTATCAGACAAATAGATTACAATCTATACGAGAGCCTAGAGTGGGTGAGTACTGCAGGGGGGCCCGGCCCTGCTGCCAGAGGGCTCTTGGTCTCCTTGAAGACGCAGCACCTTAAGTGCCGGGAGTAGCTAATTAATTAGGCCAATTATGAGCTGAATTAGGTCATTAAGATCTGAGCTGGAATGAAAACCAGTGGACACACTGGCCTTTCAGGATCAGGACAAAGGACCCCTGCAGTACTGTGAAGCCTAACACTGATCAGTCTGCGATTCAAATTCCACTCTGCTTCTTCATGAAGAAAAGACTAAAGACTAAACATTTTCTAAGGGCTTGGTGTAGCCTCTTCGTCCCTGTGTTGACATGACTCTTTCTGAAGAAGAGGTAACTAACTTTAGTTGGGAGACACAGCTGTGGCTGAAGAGAAACTGGATTACAAGACAATTGTTTTTAACAAGATGGCGGACAGTATTGGCTCAAATCTGCTCTAAGTCTTATTGGCAGTCGGATCCCTTAGCAGGCAAGCAAAATTTTCATATTTTGTTTGCGATCAGCATTTTTATTGAATTGATCAGATCGATGAACAAAAACAAACAAGAACAAATATCAACACCGCAATCAACAATACAGTGCAATTATAGTCACGCTCTTTTATCCAAAGCTCATGTCATACTAGTTTATAAGTTTATAAACAAACCTGTTTTGTGACACAACCTGTTAGACTTGTCTCAGTGTCTTCATCCTCTGCTATGTTAACCGACATCAGGGTCTGACTCACAAGAAGGGGTAAACCTGTCTGAGATTTAATCTACGGGCTTCCTTCAGAACACCATGCATATGGGGAGGGCAATCCAGGAGTGAATAAGGCAAATGATGTACATGATAGCGCTGTGAAACACATCTCAAACATGCCAAACATCTCCAGCACTGTAGTCCCTCAATGGCACACATCTAGAAAGTAATTTGACCTTCAGTAACGGATTTTGCTTTTTTTTTTATTTTCAGTGACAGTAAAACCACGTCGCAAGATAAACCAGCATTTCTAAGCAATGTTTACTCGTTTTCATTTGAACCACAGCAATTTAAATAAAAGACTGCAGTACAATGCATGCTTCTATAATTTTAGGGTAACAATACTGTACCTGTGCCCCCATTGGCCTTTGTTTTTTAAAGTTAATATCAACACTGTAATCTTTAACTAAAGAAACTGGCAACATAGATAAATCTGAAACCTACATCTTGAGCACAGCAAATAATATACTCTCTATTTATACATCCTAACTACTGTGGTGTTGATTTGTAAATGGAACCACTTAAATGTAAAAAATATGGCTGAATCATTTTGTCTGAGCAATTAAACTTACATACAGTAAAGTAAAGTGTAAAGTGTTCACCAAAAGTTTTGACATGATTGCACAAGAAACAAGATTCTTTGTAGCAGTGTCACTGAGCTGAGGGCTCAGGAGTGGGTTGGGAAGGGAATTCCTTTGACTCGCAAATCAGCAGCCCTAGACGGCCTCTTCTGTAAACCTACATCTGTTTGTACTAATAGCTCCTTGAATCTTTTATTCTGGGAGCTCTTTCAGCGCACTCTCCTCCATTCATAGTGAAACAGCTTACGGCTGTTCCCCCCATACAGACACAAACTCCACTTTTAGGTTGTTTCCTGACCCGTTTACAAATCAAACGGATTATGAGTGTTTGAAGAGAGCTTTTGATAGGGGCTGAAAGGCACAAAATGGATCTCAACAGCCAGGGCATCAGTTCCTGGGCCGAGCAGCTCTGTGCCAGCTGCTCACCCCTTCAGACAGCCACCAACCTTCTCCGTATTTGAGAAGAAGAAAATGCCTGTGTGGTTTTTGCTTTTTTTCTGGCACTCTTTAAAAGATGTCTGTCACTTGTGGTAGCATTTCTGCCTACGACAACAGCTCATTACCAAGTCCTGTAGATTTATTGCTGGTTGTGAAACCTAAACTTTCGTTGTCTAATGAAAGGATACCCAACTGCATGCACATGTGAAATACAAACACTGACCTGCTCTTCTTCCTTCTGGCACTTAGTATAAGTACTTATATGCTACCAGTGTAGACCAGTGTTTTCTGGGTATAATTGTCCATTCTACTTGTTTTCATTTTGACAACACTTTGAAAACATGAATATACACTCCATGTATAAACACAAGGATTATATTTATGTATAGATTTTTTTTTATATTAGAAAACAATTATATTTAGAAAATATACAGATAACTGTATGTCTTAACACAATTACACTGCATGGTGGTGCAATGCTGGTATTGATAGGTTTATAATATAGTACTATTGAAATGAGAGTTCAAGCAGGCACAAATTCTAATGTACCAAAGCACAGAGAGCTGACACATGAGTACAGCATGAATTTAAGATCGCCAAGCAGTCACTTTCATGTCAGCACATTTCCACAACTGGAAAGAGTGGCATAGAAATGTTAAGCAGTTTTGTCCCACAAAATTAGTGTGGGAAGCATTTTTCGAGACACTGCAGAAGCCACCTCCCCCCAAAAAAACAACCTCTAGAAGAATATGGCACAATACTGGGAAACACTCACAGAATG